GGATGCTACCTTCAAAGCTCAGATCATATGGATTCTTCAACATGCTTCGTCTATGGCGTCTCCGGAGAGTCAGCTCTCTCTTTGCTAGGTACGTTTGCGGTAATGAATGAATTTACAAAATTATGTTTTGTTTGCTGTTCTGAGGTCCTGAACTAGTATCTAAGTCTGAACGTGTACTGTTAAAACTTGTTGATTGACCTATTGCATGCTTTCGTACCATGTTTAACCTCTGTTTCTTCATTTACTAGATTGGAGAAGGATAGACACTTCAATTACTTCTGGGTTCGATGTGCAAAGCTCATTTGTGTAAGTGGTTTCAACATTTGAGTATTCTCCTGTAACTTCAATATTCTGGATGAATGATGATATCATATTTCCTTACATTTTATCTTGTAGGTCACACTTTTTGCCGTGCACTGTGCAGCATGCTTCTACTATCTCCTTGCTGATAGGTACCCGGACCCAAAGGAAACATGGATTGGCAATACCATGCCAGATTTTCATTCCAAGGGCTTGTGGATTCGCTACGTAACATCAGTATATTGGTCAATCACCACACTTACCACTGTGGGTTATGGGGATTATCATGCGGAGAATATAAGGGAGATGATTTTCAACATTTTCTACATGTTCTTTAACCTTGGACTGACTGCTTATTTGATTGGCAACATGACCAACTTGGTTGTCCATGGCACCAGCCGTACTCGAAAATATGTGAGTTTCGTTTGACTTTGACTAACCTTTGGTTGATATATACGTTGGATAATTATTTTAATACTCGACTCTGAGATCTTTTTTCTTTTTCTCTTTTCGACTAAAGCGGGATACAATTCAAGCAGCAACCAGCTTTGCACTTAGGAATCAGCTACCACCTCGGTTGCAAGATCAGATGATATCACATCTTAGCTTAAAGTTCAGGACAGATTCTGAAGGTCTTCAACAACAAGAGACACTTGATGCGCTGCCTAAGGCTATTAGATCTAGCATTTCACAATATCTGTTTCTCAATCTGGTTCAAAACATTTACTTGTTTCAAGGAGTATCTAATGATCTGATTTTTCAACTGGTGAGGCCATGGTAATTCTTTACTCTTTCCTTTACGTAGTTACTCCCTGAACTTTTGCTTATGCTGTCATTTTGCATGGTTCCTTTTGAAGGTTTCGGAGATGAAAGCCGAATATTTTCCACCTAGGGAGGACGTCATTTTGCAGAATGAAGCACCCACTGACTTCTACATTTTAGTTTCTGGTAGTGTGGTAAGGATATATCCTTTCTATTTCCTACTCCCTCCGATGCATAATAAGTGAACTAAAACCACGACACTTATTATGGATCGGAGGGAGTAGTCGATATAGTTATGTATGAGAAGAGTACAGATAAAAAAAGGTAGTTATACTGATAGTAGTTTTATTACACCCAAAAAAAAAGTGTATATGTCATTTTAACAATCAATAAACATGTCGCTTTTTCAGGAATTAGTAGAGGTTCCAAATGGTGCAGAGCATGGTGCAGAACAGGTAAAGTCCTTTGTTGCTTTGGTGCTTAACTTGAAGTAAATTTACGCCTCAAATGGCCCTTAAAATGATATGCTGGTATTTGGTAATCTCCAGGTGGTTGGAGTGGCCAAGTCAGGAGAGGTTATTGGAGAAATTGGGGTTCTTTGCTATAGGCCTCAACTATTCACAGTCCGGACAAGATCCTTATGTCAGCTTCTACGGATGAATCGTACGGCCTTTCTCAGCATTGTTCAATCCAATGTTGGAGATGGAACTATCATAATGAACAACCTTATTCAGGTTTACTGTCCATATTACTCTTCACACTCATCTTCTCTCTTATCAAAATTGCACATTATGGACTCTGTTAGATGTTTCTGATCGTGAGCAACGCTACTAGAACCTGCATCAACAATATGTGAAATTGAAACTTCAGTCCCCAAATTATCGCTAGCTCACCTAAGATCCTTAAGTTGCATTATGGGGTCTATCTCGGGTTAATTTCCTCTGATGCTCCCAGCCATAACCAACAACGATAACAATGCTTTACAAATGTTGTTTGCTTATGAACAACTGTAATACCATCAAGGATTGTTCTAGGACTTATTAAGATCCCCTTTTTGGTGCAGTTACTAAAAGAGCAGACAGACGGCGTAATGGTGGGTGTTCTGAAGGAGATCGAGAGCATGCTAGCTCGAGGCCGTCTGGATTTGCCAATTACACTCTGCTTTGCAGTGACTAGAGGAGACGACCATTTGTTGCATCAACTACTTAAGCGTAATTTGGATCCAAATGAGTCAGATCAAGATGGGCGTACGGCACTGGTTAGTATGCTCGTCTGTATTCTTTATTCTGTAAGATTTTTGTTAAGCAGGAAAGTGACAGGGTTCATTTTTATGATCAACAGCACATAGCTGCTTCCAAAGGAAATGAGCAATGTGTCAAGCTTCTATTAGAATATGGAGCTGATCCAAATGCCAGGGGTATGCCTAATCATGATAGTCCCTTGTTGTATATATATAAATATATCATCATAATGAAGCAAAACTATCATCTGCATAATTCCTCTGAAATTTATTAGCATTTATCACTTAAGGAAAAAAATTATTCTTCGCTAGTACAAGAGTGCCTTATTAATTCTGGATACCAGTCCCGAAGAGTTTTTAAGGTTCGATCATACCCTTAGCTAACTATACCTTTAATTATTCCAATATCCAGATTCGGAAGGAAAGGTTCCGCTATGGGAGGCTGTGTATGCGAAGCATGATACGGTTGTGCAGCTGTTAGTCAAGGGCGGTGCAGAACTATCATCTGGGGATACGAGCTTATATGCTTGCACCGCAGTCGAGCAAAACAATATAGAACTGCTCAAGCAGATACTCAAGCATGTCATCGATGTAAACAGGCCATCCAAAGACGGAAACATTCCGCTGCACCGTGCTGTCTGTGACGGGAACGTTGAGATGGTTGAGTTGTTACTGAGACACGGAGCGGACATCGACAAGCAGGACAGCAACGGCTGGACCCCAAGGGCTCTAGCTGAGCAACAAGGCCATGAAGAAATACAAAACCTGTTTAGATCAGTGATAGCACCAAGGAAGTACACATCAAATGGTAGGGTGACACCTATGTTGCTAGGCAGGTTCAGCAGTGATCCCTCGATGCAAAAAGTGATCCATGAAGATGTTGAGCAGCAACCCAGCAAAGTTCTTCCGCAAAGAAGGAAAGTCAGCTTCCACAACTCTCTTTTTGGTGTCATCTCTTCGGCTCATCCGCGCCGGGAGACTGACCATCTGCTCTCAAGAGGTCTTGCGGCAACAGGCGGTCCGACTTATCCTCAGGCCCATCACAACCCACTCATCAGGGTGACAATCAGCTGCCCCGAGATGGGGAACACTGCTGGGAAGCTTGTGATCTTGCCGGGGTCGATAAAGGAGCTTCTTCAACTAGGTGCGAAGAAGTTTGACATGATGCCCACTAAGGTCCTGACAATTGAGGGCGCAGAAGTTGACGAGGTTGAGCTCATCAGAGATGGTGATCACCTTGTTCTCGCCAGTGATGACTGGGTACCAGATGATACGCAAATAAGAGGTAAAAATTAGGCAGAGAATTACGTTTTCCGGTTTACTGTAATTTGGGTAAAACGGGGAATGTTGAACCACGCTTGTAACAAAAAAGCCAATGGTGAAAAAATAACTGGAAATCACCAATGGCTACTCCACGACTCGTCTCCACCACGTCTCCACCGTGATAAAGATGGTGAAATAGGGTTATGCCCAGCAGGTGAAATTAATAATCTTTTTGAAGTGGTATAGGGTATACCTTGTATAGAAATTCTTGTCTGCTGGGCATGCAGAATTTTCATTGTATAGAAATTCTTGTCTGCTAGGCATGCAGAATTTTCACAGGTTATCCAAAGAAATCATTAAGGTTATCTAGCTTCATTTTATTATGGTCATTATTATCTCTCTCATATTCCGTATCTTTGCTAGTGCTGACCGCTTGAATCTGTGTGACACTTGAGGAATGATGCCAGCAACCTGCTAGGTTTCAGTGCTTCCTATACAACAGAGACTGTATTGCTGGTTTATTACTCTCTGGCGTCTGCCGTCTGATAAGTCTGAAACTTGTACTCCTATATACATATTCATAATTTCGGATAGATAGCCTCTGAACTTTCATGTATCTGGGATAGGGAAGGACTGCCAGCAAATAGCACGCCAGAAGGAGCTGTATGAGAATTGTTGATGTTTATTTTATTTTTGTTCTAAGGCAGCGGTGTGCAAATTAAATTGCACTAAATATATGGTGTAAAGCCTCAGAGAGTAATTGACTGGCTGATCCTGGGACATCTTTATTTACACGCCTCACCAACCACCAGTTCACAGCTCAGGCAAGTAATGTTGGCATGTGAAGCCACGGAGGTGACACAGCCAATAAAACCATCCAGAATCTGTTCAAATGCAGGGTCATAGTATCTCCTCAGCATGTCGCTGACATGTGTACCCCCTTTGCAACCATCATTGGGACAAATATTCAATGGAAACCTACATTTTGGAATACTAGGCAGAAACTACGCGCGTAAGTTACGTAAAATTCTCAAAATGTTACACAATTGAGAAGGCTTCTAAACACAATTGAGTTCGAACTTGAGCGAAGCAAAAACTAACACATTGTTGTTCAGCTATCTGTTAATTAAATTTTGCTCCGCTGGAGTTAGTCAATGATAATGAAGCAGCTGGAGATGGGGTAGACGTGAACTGGAACACTGCAGGCATGGGCTGTACAGATTCAACTTGCTCAATTGAACAGATCAGGAACAGAAATACATATGACCAAAAAATAAATTAGGTGAGCTCTAGGACCCTTGAGATTTTGGGTCAGGCTCCACTACTTTGCAACTAACATGGGCTCACACCAACTCGCAACAGCTAGAGGTCATCTACTCAATGTAGAGGGCACAGAAGAGAGCAAAATTCAAAAGGGAAGATGGACAGGTGTATGCTACAATCTTTGCAATGAATCATCTGATGATACCAATTTTGAGATGAACGGAGAAAGAGCTGAGAGCAATGCATTGGCACATTCTTCGTGTGGCAGATGACCACATCCTGATATAGTTACTAGCCTCTGCACAACAACAAGAAGCAAAACACAGATTTATTTAGATATGCAGCAAATCAAGCCAGAATTTATGTCATATATTGTGGAAGAAATATAGGCCACTCTGACTGCACAAGATGAAGTGGACAAGTGGTAGACAACTTACAGAATTTACAAGTTCTGAAGCCATAGTTTGTGCTGACTTCAGAGAAACAAGAGCATCCTCAGAGCCTGCTACCACCAAAACAGGGAGGTCTTCCACCGATCTTAGTAGTTCCGTTGCTCTTTTTGATGATAGGACGGTGGAAAATGAAAGACGGCCTACTTCATGGAGTGCTTCGTCCCAGCCCTCGACATATAGTGGAGCCTGAATGCAGAAGCTCATTAGGCCAGTCATTAATAGTTAAATGTGGGCAGAATTAAAAAAACATTTGTGTTTGAAATTGTAATTCTTCTATATACAAGGGTTTGACTTTCATGGTAGATTAAAAGGTAAATGTAAACTAATGCAAGTGTTTACCTTGTAAAGATTAAGAACATCTGTTGTCAACTTGGTAGCATCAAACCATGCTCGTCGATTGATCACCTGAGTGATTTCAGTACGTAGAAGTGGGCGCACCATGTGCTTTTTCCTCAGAGGAGTATGCAGGAGTATACGAGCAAATGCAGGAATCACTTCTCTTGATAAGCTTACACCTATAAGAACAACTCCCTTCACTTCAACCTGGGAACACACAGGGGAATATTTAATTTAATATGATCATTACAACGACGACAAACTTCCATCCAAAAATTATGATAAGTTGCTGATTTACAATGGACGAAGAAAAGTCACAATACTGTACCTTCCTAGAATCTCCAGAAGCACGTAACTTTTCTGCGGTCCTCAGTGCCAGCAAGCCGCCATCATCATGACCAACTAAAATGACCGAGCCCAAGCCCATGTCTAAGCAAAATGAAATCAGAAGATCAACCTGCACAAGGGCATACAAAATGGTGTTTTTAAAACATGATCACGCTGTTTGAAATACAGAGGAAAAGGTTATGTAGTTCAAAGTGAATTTATTTAAAGTTGCAGTGACAAGACAAACTCTCAATGACACAGAATATTCTCAAGATAAAATGTCTCTCTGAGGGTGGAAACTAAAAGCATTCAGGCAATAGCACTTACTATAAAATTAACTATCACAAAGAATATTTTGGAAAAGACAACATTTCACCTAGTTAGCCATAATTTTTTGTGGGGGGAGGTATTTAAAAAAATATTTCACTTGAGTGAAAATAAATTAATAAATTTGCTCTGCAACTTTGAGGTAAATGCTGTTGGTGTTGGTACTTGCTAGACTTTAATTAGGAGTTTAGGTGACATAATGCAACCCTAAGAACAGATTATGACCTAATATATGAATAGATGGTAAGATGGATCACCTGTGACTCAAGCTCGTACGGGTTTGGCAAATTCTTGTCTTCCCAGTCCTTTCTGCGAGGTCGAGATGTTAACCCCCATCCAGGGCGATCAAAGGCCAGCACAGTGCAACCCACTTGTCGAGCAAGCAAATTACTAACATGTCTCCATGCAAATACTCCCCCTCCAAACCCATGGACCAAAACAACAGCAAATTTCCCGTGCTCTTCAGCCTCGAGATCAAAGCCCATAGGTCTCGAACACACCTGTAAGCTGTCGTCGTCGAGACTGAGAAAGGGGATGCCATCTGACACCGTTGGAGAGGTCAGCGGTTCTACCAACAATGGTGCATATAACGATGTTTGGTGGTACTGATGACTAAAGCTCCTATGCAAAAGACGACGGGTACTCGAGGAAGCTGTTGGTGGGCTCTCATGCCTCTGTCTTCTAGGAGAAATGCTTGACGAAACAGCATCATGATTAGTTTCTGGAAACAATTCAGGAGCTGGAGGTATGCAACTTGATGGATCAGACATTTTGTAGTGTACAGTGATCCCCTGGCAAGCAGTGAACATGCTATCACTATCAGCAAGAAAACTGATTGGAATATCCCTGTCATCGTGCACAAGAGTTTTTCTCTTTGTCTCGCTCTCGCTCCTTGAATAAAGTTTCGCACTGTGCGGAGTGGGCGACCGAGGAACCTTGTAGCATCCAGGAAAGGCATTCTTGTAAGCCAGAATCTGAAAAGGGAGCAGAAAAGGCCATATAAATACCAAACAGAAACAGCAATCCGTCATGTGCAGTGAGATTCAAGCGAACAGGCCATACCGATTCAGGGTCAATGCGATGGATGAGCAGCTTTCGTCGAGCCCTGCAGCTCGTTCTGTAAGCGACAACAAAATGGCCGAGAGCAAAGATCAAGGATGACAGGAAAAGCGCAGGCATTCCCCATAGCTTCTTCATATTTAGCCTGTGGTCCGCCAATGACGGCGAGAGCTCAGGCCCAATGTCCTGAGCTGGACTGTAAACGCAGGCCTTCATAAGCAAGATGAGCAGCGAAGCCAAGGAACAGAAGGTTGTGGTTCCAAGGTACGGGCCGTGAGAGAGACCAGAAGTATCACACACGAGGTATACGCCTGCACAAGTACACTAGCAGGTTAGTGGAATCTGATGATGGCTGGTGTAGACTGTATTAAAATTTTCAAATGCCTTTCAAGTTTCAAGCTGTGGACTTAAGCAAATGACGCGGTTTATAACTACTAAATAAATAGGTATACTAGTACAGAATTGAAGAGTAACAGGCGACACTTATACTTCCACTAGTCCACTAGTATTAAAAGTTTGATCGTCTCCCCCAAGCGAAAGAAGACAAGCACAGATGTAGCTTTCGGGTGACCAAATCCTCATACATAAATGCAAAAAATATGGAGAATCCTAAGCGAAGCGCTCAAAGTCCCAAAAATAGGCTCCAAGGACAAACGAAACTCCATTCATTGTCCAAAGAAAATGAAAGAAAAAACGCTCGGGGGATGGGGAAGCAAGCAACCACGACCCAGACAGACACAGATTCCCCAGGATTGCTAGCGCCTGCGCCGTTTCGCGCAGTAAAACAGCATTAAGGAGGCAATGCGAGCAGCTTACAGGTGATGGCGAAGGAGCGAAGGACGGAGAGGAGCGGTATGTCCACGAGCGAGCTCCGGAAGGCGTACCCCCGGAGGTGGTCCCGGAGGCCGCGGCAGCGCGGGCAGCCGAGGCGCGCCTCGAGCCAGAGCGTGACGGCCACGTCGCCGGCGGCCACCACGACGGGCGCCGACGCGACGAGCAGCGACGCCACCATGACCACCATGAACCAGGCCGTCCTCACCCCGCGGCTCGCCGTCTCCGGCCAGCCCTTCCCGCCCGCCCCCATCTCTCTCCGACGCACGGGAGCTCGCCGCCCTCCCCGACTCCGGCGATCGCCGGCGGCCCAGGCTGCTAGGAGGCAGCGGGCATGCGACAGGCGGAGGCCGCGCCGCCGCCGCTTCTGCGTGGGTTTAGGGTTCGGGCTTTCGAGGTAGCGGGTGGGGTGGGGGCGTGAGGAGGAAGCGGAGGAAGGAGGAGGCCGGTGAAGGGGAGAGGAAGAGGAAGAAGAGAGAGAAGGAGAGGAGAAACGGGGGAGAGGAGCGGAGGGGTATTTATGGCACAGTGCGCTGGTGGGTTTGTCAATTTGTTAGTGCCTGCGATCTAACAAACGGCAGACTGCTTTTGTTTGTCAGTATATATGCCGAGCAACTGGTATAAGTTGGGTTTTTTTTACCTGCGCTGATTTCGTGCTTCATTTTCCCTTCGTGTGTTGTGTTGTGCTGTCCTTGACAGCAGCACGGTCCTGCGTTGGACAGATGGGTTGCCCATTCTAGGCTGTTGCTTTGCAGCAAAGAAATTCAGATGCTTTGTCTTTTCTTGGTAAAAGACATGACTCTTGTGAGAACACAGATAAATCGGTCCGCGCTAGGTAAACATTCATGTGTAAAGCATGACTTGTTTGCTCCTCGGTTTATATGTTAGTATAAAGTGTCTACGATGACAGCCACCATGTTTTTTCATGTGAAAATAGTGTTCCGTACGAAAGTTAACAGCTCGAAAATGGTAGACACTTTTTGCACTTAGGACATGTCCAGTGGTTGATAAGATAAATTTTATCTTAAGCATTACATGTATTTAAAAGTGATAATAAAAGTATGTGTGCAATGAGTTATCTTTTAGCCTTATCTTCAATAACTAACTATTTTTAAAAACATGGTGAGACGTATCGTGCTAAGAGATTATCTCTTAAATAAAAGAAGACAAACATTTTCTTATGATTTCTTTCTCCTTCACCTCAACGTTATCCTACGTGCCACTTCTAAGATAGCACCATTGTACGCCCTTATAAACCAAGGATCAATACAACATATCGTCTTTCACCTTCCTTGTAAAATCTAATGTGTGGAATTGCTAGAAAGTTCATGCTATAGTTTGCTCAACTATATTACTTGTACTTTAGTGTCACAAAAGGACATCCTTGGTGTCTCATTATACAATGTTGAGTAAACTTTTATTCCATGTTGCCCCATTTTAGTGTCTGTTGGAGGTGGTCTACTTTCTACAATATCAAAATTTGTAGTTCCCGGCAGAGAAAAGTGTTAGCATCTCAAGGAAGAACCCTCTTTGTTGGTTATATGCGGCTCGTGGTTACTCATGTCACAATGCCTCTTATTTACTGAAACGCTTCATGCGGGAGGGTTGAGGCGAGCGACTAAAACCCTAGCCACCACCTAGTCGCCTCCCCATCGCATAGCAAAGCCAAACGACGTAGGCGCCAACAGGGAGGTTGTTACTCGTAGGGGACCTGCCGCGGAGTTGGTGGGTTGTTGTGGGTTGGCGATGGTGATGAGTTACGGAGTTACGATCTTCAACATGCGATGCCAAACGACGAGGTCGGTGATCCAGCATGACAATCTCCAACGGCTGCTCGGCCTGGCTAGGTCACCAGAGAAGAGGGCGTCGGTGCATATATGGTCCTGGGTGGCAGCCACCTCGACATCAAACCCGGAGCTATCGTACATCAGAAACGGTGATTTGTCTCAGGTTTTCTTTAGGGAGTCTTCATGTCTCGTTTGAGACGGCAAGGCGGTGATGGTATCCCAGTGTAGGAATAATGTCTTTCTTGCCCTTTTCCTGTTTCGTTGGTGTGCTCATCACCATCGACGGGAGGGCGTGTGGAGCTGTGTCTCTTGCGGGTGTATCGAGATCCGTCGATTTTGTGGTGGGTTCATCTAGATTCAACCAGCTTTCGTGGTCTTCGGAGTTTCTACATGCCCTTTTCGGTGTTTTCTTCTCCATGGCGGTGATTTCCTTCACATATCGCTACGTCTCCTTGTTTGCGTAGACGACTTCTCGGAGGCTGCTTCTACAAGCTCATCGGTTTAAATAAGTTTGCTCCACTGGCATGGAAGCCCAGAAACAGCATCAATCTACGCTCACATTACATTGTCGATATATGCATGAGGAAGAAGATTTCCGCACCCCTAATTTTTTTAATGCAACGTTTTTTTGTAAGTAGGAAAACCACTTAATATACGGCCTTATCCCTTTTTTAAGAAAAAATATATGTCCAATAGTGTGGGTTATAAAAGAAAAATCACTAGGGCAAATGCACAACGGAGTAACTCCAACAGTTCCCATAAAATACTCACAGTAAAGGTGGTTTTATAAAGGGAAATGCTACCTTTCCATCGGCGGATCTCACATGAACGTCGACCGCCTCTACCGTCTGCCACGTGCCACCTTGACTCGTGTCTTCCTCTCAATTTTATCTCTTCCATAGAAATCAAGGCATCTTCTTCTCCCCAAAAATATCTCACGTCACTGCAAGCAAGCAGCCAGCGAGGTTTTGTTGCTCCTGGCAGCAAGCAGCCATGGCTTTTCCTTGTCCCTTGCAGCAAGCAGCCCTTACACCTCCCACTCCCTTTTTGCAGCAAGCCATGGCACCCCAAAGCTACAATCGGGGGAGACCTCCCGCGGGCGACCGACTCCCTCGAGGAGATCCGCAACTGAGTTTCTGCAACAATGATGTTGTTGCGAATGACGGCGGCGAAGCTAGTGCAACTACGACGCAACGATGAGTTTTTGCAACATGGTTTCTGTTGCAAAACAAAATCCAACAAATGTCTTGTTGCAGGAATACGATACGCGTGACGAGCTTCTGCAACATGTTTTCTATATTATTATTTTTTGAAACAAAGGTTTTGTTGCAGGAATACAAAGAAAAGGCTAGAGATGTTGTTGCAAAATTTGTAATAAGGATCTTATTACAGAAATACAACAACAGGTCTGCGATGCTTTTGCAAGAAAAGTCATGTTTATAACAGAGGTTTTGCAACAAGACCCTTGTTACAGAAAATAAGAAAGAGAAACGACCGAAGGACCCGTGCCGGACGCGTAGCACGGCCCGTTTTATAAGGGCGTCTATAAGACCAGTAAAAACTTGACGTAGAGGCCGTTTTTGGCGGTGGCACGGTGGTGGACGGCGGTGGGCGGGCGGGCGAGCGGCATGGCGGAATCTGCAGTATCTGTACCGGCAAAAGGGGCACGGTCCTATGAGCCACCCGCAATGGCAATACTACCCCTGCACGGTCGCAGCAGCACGGGGCCCAAACGGTCGGCTCGCGGCAGATCTCGACCGTCCGCTGCTCCGCACTCCGCCGTCCCTCCTCTCCCTCCCGGAGCGCTCGTACCTTTCCCTGGAGATACGGCGCGGGCCACGCTCCAGCGTATAGTCGGCCCGTCCGCAGCACATGCGCCCCCACGGCCAGCGTGGAGTGATTCACGCGTGGGTCTTTTGCTTGTCTATTTCTCTCCCTCTCTCTTTTTTGTTGGAAGACAGGCGAGTCCGATGCTTTGCCCATGTATTTTTGCTGCGTATTTTTTGTTTGAACTCTTTTGCTGCGTTGTTGTACGTAGTTTAGTCCGGAGATTTGTGGAGACTGGCCTGGCTTTTAAGGGTTCAGAATAATGCTTGGATTGGATGCATGAGCCAACCACTGCGCCACGACAGCAAGGCAGTGCCTTCATGATTAACAATAATCCTTCCGTGTGATGGTTTACGTTCGGGGTCCAATTGTCTAACTTGTGCCACCACAGCTACTACAAGGAAAAAGAATAATCTTTTCAAGGGAATCTTCATATCTTGGCGAAGAAGGTCAATATTCTAAGTCATGATTGGTATCCAACAATAATAGGATTCCAGAAAGAAAAACCAGCACTTTACAGGGGAACCAAGATAGCTACTGTTTGATCTAAGAGATCACCGTTCGACATTAAGACCATCGAAAACAATTAGCAAGTCTAGAGTTGTGTCCACAATTACATTCTTGCATTAATAGTAAGAAACGTCGAGCTATTCTCTAAACTACAGCATGAAGGGTCTCCATTAGAGTTTATAACACCGAAAGTGTTGTTCTAATCCTGAGGTCATGTGGGCCCCTCCTCTGGCGACACGGGGGTCCCTCCGTCGCGCCGCCGCGTTCCTCCTCCCACCCTCGCCCCGTCTCGCCGCCACTCGAGGGGCGCCGGCGAAGGCCGCGCGCGCCCCGAAGAAGGTGGTGGCGGGGCGCATCTGTTGTTTCCCGGCCGTTCTCGTCGTCAGAGGAGGGCGTCGTGGCGCGCTGGATCTGGCCGCACGGTGGCGGGCGGCGGCGGTTGCTTCCCCCTCGGCGCGGAAGTGGCGGCTCGGGGTGTCGGCCGTGCCGCAAGGTGGAGCTGGGTTGCGGCTGTTGGCCTGCGGTTGCGTGGCGAAGGTGCAGGTCCGATCTGGGCCAGCGCGTGGGGGGTCGCGGCGCAGCTCTTGCCGGCGGCCATGCCTGCATGCGGCACCTTCCGGCTGCTTGGCATTGCATCCCCTCGCGTGGTGGTCGTGGGGAGTCTCCTGACTCTCTGTTGGCGGCTTCTCCGGGTGGCCAGATCTGGGCCGTGCGGGTCCACGGCCGGCGAGGGTGATGGTGGTGTGGCCGCGGTCGTCCTGGCTGGTGGTGGCGGTGGTGTGGTGTTTGGCGCTGTGGCGGTGCAGACCTGCATCTGTGCTGGATTTCTCAGCA